AAAGGTGGCAGTGCCTCCTAGTTAGGAATTAATTTATAACTTCCAAATCATGTAATAAAAATAATATGACAAAGATGCACATTTTGGTCTTTTATCAAGAACGTTCAAAATTACAAAAGAAAAGAAAACTAAGGCTTTTAAAACAATAACATCCTAAACTAAGCCTAGTTATGCCCGATGTCACATCCTATCAGAGCATGCCCAACTGAAACCTTAAGCCTCATCACCAACATCCTCATAATGATGATCACCTACAACATAATTTAAACATATACAAGAACAACAAGGGAGTGAGAAACATCTCACTCAGTTTCAGGTGCAGAAATAAAGGTTAGATTTGTTGTTCTTGTATATGTTTAAATTATGTTGTAGGTGATCATCATTATGAGGATGTTGGTGATGAGGCTTAAGGTTTCAGTTGGGCATGCTCTGATAGGATGTGACATCGGGCATAACTAGGCTTAGTTTAGGATGTTATTGTTTTAAAAGTCTTAGTTTTCTTTTCTTTTGTAATTTGAACGTTCTTGATAAAAGACCAAAATATGCATCTTTGTCATATTATTTTTATTACATGATTTGGAAGTTATAAATTAATTTCTAACTAGGAGGCACTACCACCTTTGCTGGAATTAATGTATATTTTCCTTTATAAGATTTCTTGAGTTTTGATACTTACATGTTGACTTTTTTATGATTTATGAGTTATGAATGTGAATCTTCTACCTTATGATATTTGAGACAATTATTTTATTTATGAAAGATGTTGTCAACTATGAAAGATTTTATTTACTAAAAAAAAAATAATTATTATTTACACTTATTGTGTATTAATGTTGGGGTAAAGGGTGTCACACTAATAATAATTTTAAAAGGAATAATTACATAAGAAAAGCAAAACAATTCAATTAAATGGAAGGTTATATACATGTAGTGTAACATTTGTGGTGAATGTCTTATTATTTTGTTTTATAAAATTTAATGCTTTGAAATTTATTAAATAGTATTGCGTATGAAAGATTTAATTGTTTAGGAACATTTAATAGACAAAAATTAAAAAAATATAGGCTTAATTGCATTTTTTATCTCTCAAGTATAACAATTGTGTAATTTTGGTTTCCAAGGTTTTAATTGAGTAATTTTAGTCCTTAAAAGATTGCAATTGTGTGATTTTAGTCCTTCGATTTTTAATTGAACATTTTTAGTCCATCAAAGTTGTTACAGTTAAGATATATTTTTCAAAATCAATTTTTTCTCATGGTCAATATGTAGCAATTTCAAGAGTTACATCAAATAGTACATTAAAATATATAACAAGTCAGTGTATATTTATTTTTTAATATTATTTTTGACTTATTATTAATATTAGTATACTTTATATCTATTATTGTTATCAGTTTTTATTTATATAATTAATTAATATCATTTTATTCAACTAATTAAAATAAACCGTGCATCGCATGGATATCGATTTAGTATATAATACATGAAGTTAGGGACACTAATATAGTAGAAACATTTTATGCTAATTATTTTAGATATTTTATGTTAATTCTAGATCTATCGTAAATCTCAACACATACAATACTCAAACATATGTCATAGTATAGGTGTTAAATATGATGTTAATTATAATACATCTAACCCCCATTTGAACCCATTTTATATGTCAGGTGTAGCCTTACCCACCACATTCTAAGGATGACAAGTTTGGGTTAGTGGGAAAACACAAAATAGATGTCTATAAGGAGAAAGTGTTGGAAAAGGAAAAGAGGTCCTTTCATGGGTTTTATGAGGTTGCACAACCTGAAGAGTGTGTTTGGAGATTGAGGAAACTCACACAAGTCGACGAGGTGTTGGAGCTTAATCATCCTCCTAGCGAGGAATCTAATGCCATAGTGCATTCCATCCCTTCCTTAGTTCCAAAATATGCTTCTTTAGAGAACGCTATCACTCTCATTTTTCCCTTTGGTTTCAAATTGGGAGTTTATGTTCTCTTTAGTTAAGGGGTGACCAACTGACCCCTGAATCTCCCTTTTCTTTTTAGTTTATGTAAATGTGGAAAGACCACCCAGATTATCGTAGGCTTATATATTGAAGAGGTATGGGGGAATCCAATACATGGTTGTCCCTTGTTTGTTTTAAGTTAAAAACTTAAAAGTTACCCTTAAGGTTTAGAATAAGGACATTTTTGGAAATATCCATTCAAGAGTGATGAATGTCATGCATGCGCTGGAGAGCTTTTAGCTCCTACAAGGTACTGGTGAGGATCTAAGTAACACTAACAAACAAGAAATGAATGCCAAGGTAGAACTTCAACAAGCCTTGGCCTATGAGGGGGCTTTTTAAGGAGAAACCTTGTATGAATTGGCATTCTATAAGGAATCATAATCCACCGACTTTTTGTATTTTTTTTAATAAATTTCAATCAAGTGTATTTCAAAAAGTGTGTCATAATGTATTATTCCTAACATTTGTCTATTTGATATATTACTAACCATTTTGAATCAAACGTAAAATTAAATTAATGTGACCTAATCAACTAACTAGCCAATACTCTCATTATTCCTACACATAAGACACTTTTTTTTTTATTTGCTTGGCCTTCTTATAAGACTCTTTTCATCAAGTTGTTTATTGATTAATTAATTATTTTTTACTAAAGTATATCCTTTATTAATTTGAATAAATGTTATTCATTAATGTCACAAATTCATTATCTCTTTTAGGAGATATATAAGCACTTGTACACTTTAGTAATTAGATCAAAAGTAATTATATGAAAAAGGAGATAATAAGTGTCAATAATTTTAAGGGTAATTATAGAGAAAATAATATAAATGGAGGTTTTGAGGTGGGGGAGACAAACGCAACCTATTCACAATGGTGGGAGAGAAGACAACTAAGGCATGAAAGAGAAAAATGAAAGGAAAAAAATATTAATCATCCTGCATCAACCATACACTTAACCGATGTAGAATGTAAATATACAATCAATATATAATAGTTATATTCTTGTCCGTTGTTACACAAATGTTAAAGAGTTTCACTAGTATTCTTTTTTTAATCAGTTGTGAAATAATCGACACATAATAGTATTTTTTTTTCACTAGTGTTATGTTAATTACTACCTAAAATATTTTTTTTAATTAATAAGTGTGAATTAGTTAAAACTAAAAGATTCTTACATTTATGGGGGAGAGGGAGTAATAACCAAAAAAAAAAGGGTGATCTCTAGTCTCACTACTCCTATAAATATCTCTTACCACAATCACAACTCTCCATCCACCAGAAACATGCATATACAAACTCTTCCGTTTCCATGGACCCCAATAAGCACCCACCACCTCATGTCAACACCAAAATGTGTTACCCTAGACTCATCATCGTGGTTGAAACCGCCAAAGAGCCACTCAATGTCACTCGAGAAGTTAGAAATATTAAAGTCACTGGAGGGATGGGTCTCCCAGCAAGTCCTGCCACTGCTGAAACCCGTGGAGCAAAGTTGGCAACCACAAAGCTTTGTCCCTGACTCATCACTGCCATTGGAAGAGTTCAAGGAGCAGGTGAAGGGTCTTCGTGATCGCACCAAGGAGCTACCAGATGAGTACTTGGTGGTGTTGGTGGGTGACATGATAACGGAAGAAGCGCTTCCCACTTACCAAACCATACTGAGCAACCTCGATGGGGTGAGAGATGAGAGTGGAGCAAGCCCAAACCCATGGGCTGTGTGGACCCGATCATGGTCTGCAGAAGAAAATAGACATGGGGATTTGCTCAAAACTTATTTGTATCTTTCTGGTCGTGTTAACATGAACATGATCGAGAAAACTATCCATTACCTTATTGCTTCTGGCATGGTCAGTATACTTTCTTTTTTTTAAAATAAAGTAAATGTGATATAACATAAATAAAAAGGAATATTAACTAAGTTAACACCCTGCTTACCAAAAACAAAAAAACTAAGTTAACATCCCACTCTCCATTAATCATATACTTCAAAAGAAAAAAATAAAAGTACATGTATAAAGTGGGAGAACAAATCAAAACCGCCTGCAAAAATATACTTTCTATAATCACCTTAGACAACAAAACATAGCAACAGAAATTTAGGAATATACTTACTAGATTTTGCAATTCTTGATCTTGTTCTAGGTCTAGACGCGAAAGGTTACCAGAAATGGATTCTCTGACTTTATGGAGGAAAAGTTATGGTAACTTAATACATTTTATACTGTTAGATTTGTAATAATAGATCAGATTATACGTGTACATTTAAGTCAAAATATATATTATACACGTGTCATAATCTGATTTATTTTTATAAATCTAACGGTTTAAATGCATTAAGTTATCGTAACTTTCATGTTTCAAAGTTAGAAAATCTGAATCCAAGGTTACCATTACCAAAATAAAATAGAAAAATTAATTCTAACATACTTTCTCTCATACTCTTATAAATACATTCTTTTTTAATGATTGAAATTTGTTGAAAAATATAAAAGTTGATTGGTATTATATTTTATTTGATAATTTTTTCTTGCTTTTATAATTTTTAATAAATTTTAATTATTAAAATAAATTTATTGTTATCAATTAAATTACCTTCTTGTTTTTTTTAAGAGTTTGTTGAGTACTAAAATGGTGTATTATTTGTTTTGTTTGGGATGATTAGCGCTCTGGTTTCGAGAGCAATCCATATTTAGGGTTTGTGTACACGTCATTCCAAGAGCGAGCGACGTTCGTGGCGCACGGGAACACAGGTCGTCTTGCAAAAGAGGGCGGTGATCCAGTGCTTGCGCACATATGCGGGACCATAGCTGGAGACGAGAAGCGACACGAGAAGGCGTACACTAGAATCGTGGAGAAGCTTCTAGAAGTGGACCCCTCAGGAGCAATGGTGGCCATAGGGGACATGATGGAGAAAAGGATCACGATGCCGGCACACCTTATGTACGATGGGGAGGACCGCAGGTTGTTCGACCACTACTCTGCAGTGGCGCAACGTATAGGCGTGTACACCGTTGATGACTATGCGAACATCTTGGAGTTTCTGGTTGGACGGTGGAGATTGGAAAAGCTAGAAGGTTTGACGGTGGAGGGAAGGAAGGCACAAGATTTTGTGTGTGGGTTAGCACCCAGGATCAGGAAGTTGCAAGAGAGAGCAAATGAGCGAGCACGTAAGATGAAACCTCGTGCCGTCAAGTTCAGTTGGATCTTCAATAAAGAGTTGCTTTTATGAACTTTCCTTGAGATTGTGAGATAGGATTAAAGGTCACAAATCACTTATGGGGCATCAAACTATAGGGTATATGCTAGCTCCAAACTCTTTCTGTTTAGAATGATATATATATATATATATAATATAATATAAGATTATGTGTTCTTGACCACCTCTATGCAATATTTAATTTGAGTACTAATTAATAGTTTTTTTTCACCCAATATTTATCTAGAAAAATGGTTAACTATGTGTAAAAGTAAACTTAATTTCATCTCATGAGTGGTTAAAACTAAAATTTGTATAATTTTATGTATAATTTTCGATATGAATGTTATTATTCATTTTTAATCACTATATATGTTATACATTTAAATAACCTCATGACATTATTAACTACTTACAAAGTAAAGTTAACTACTGAGACATTTCATTAATTTCATGTCACAATTAGTTAGTTTTTTTCTTTTTTATTTATGTTTCTTTCCTATTTTCACTATTAATTTCACTTTCACTCTTTCACTATTTTTTATTTAATTTATATTTTTGTTCTACTTTTTGTAAAACTCTAACTAATCAATAATTATTATTTTTAAAATAAAATAGAATAAAATAAGGCGCCCCCACTAGTAAGTAGAAAGAGTATTCATTAACGTAATATTGGATTTTTCCATTTGGTGTCCAGCTAGCACATGTGGTTAATCACATATGTAAATATGATTATTTTTGTTTTCTAAGTGATTAATAGTAGATGAATGTGATTATATACAGTTTTTAATATATATTTAATTTAATATTATGATGTTGTTGAAGCATATAATAATGGTTAAATTTTTGGTTAATAGTATCATAAAATTATTGATCATCATATAGTTAATTATATGTGCAAATATGATTAACTTTTAAATAAATTTGATTGTTTATAATTATTGATATGTAGTTAATAATAATATTAAATTATTAAAATGTCTAATAATAATTAACTTTATCTTACGATTAATAATATCACGAGTTTATCAAAATGTTTAATAGTTGTCGACATTATTTTATATATGATTAATATTAATCATATCAATATTTATATAAAATTATCTTTGTTCATTAATCCCTTCAAATTTAAATATTAGCAAATTTTAATTAATTTGACTCTATTTTAATGACAACATCTCCAAAATACCGTCAATTTAAATGAGATTCTATTTTCAAAGACATTTTTATTTTTGATATCAAGTTTCCGTGAAAGATAATATAGGAAAAACAATGTTTTTGGTTGAAATTAGTAAAATTAAATAATATTAATTAATTTTCTTAATTACTGCATAAATTAGTTAAATTTATTTATAATTGAGTCAATGGACATGCTTGTAAATATAAACTAGGCTTGCTCTCATGTAAACTGTAACCTTAACTTTACAATAGTTGTTAGATTTAATAAAAAATGATTATACTTAAATTATATTTAATGAAGTATTAAATATTTCATATTAATGATATTTATTAAATAGATATTAATGTAACAGTTAATGTTATTAATGTATAATTTTATAAATATATTAATAAATATTTTTGTTTGAGTAGAATTAATATTACATTTTTTATATTTATTAATTGGATAAAATATATTTTTAGTCCCTCTAAAACTATTAAAATTTGATTTTAATTTCTCTATAAAAAATTGTCTTATTTTAAGTTCTTAATAATTTGAAATCACATCACTTTTAGGCATTCAAGTTCTTTAGATAACACCTAAAAATGATTATAAAACATAATTTAAACTATTTTTAAGGTCAAAAGTGGAGCATTTTCAAATTAGATAGATTAAAATAAGACAAAATTATTCATTAAAATAATTACTTTAAAAAATTCATGAATATTTTATATTATGTATAAATTAGTTATTTAATTATATTAAATTATAATTTAATGATATTAAAATAGTGGATGAAATAGTCGTTAAATTCATTTTCTTTATATTTTTAGAACTACAAATAATAAAATCACAAAAAAATTACTAAAACAATCAAAGAAAATGAATATTTATATTCAATCGTTTTATTCTAAAAAAAATAAATTCTAATATATAAATAAATTATTACTTTAAGAAAAAAAATTTGTAGAAATTGTTTATTCATTTTAAACTTTGTCAATATCTAAATTATCTAAAATATAATGATGTGGTGTTGTTGTGGCATGGGAAAACAGGAGCATAAAATATATAAAAATAATATTTAAAAATAAAAAATTTATTCATATTATATATATTTGAGGAACTAAAAGAAGACAAAAAAAAAATTAGAGGGACTAAAGTCAAATTTGAGAAACTTTAACGGAACAAAATTATATTCTATCTTATATATTTTTAACATTAACAATATTATTAGTATAATCATAGATAAATTAATAATTTAATAAATATAAATTGATATATGCCAATATAGTTTTTACTAAATATAAATATATTATGTATGATATAAACAAATTAAAAGAAATTTAATTAAAAATATACTAGCAAGAAAAAAGCACTCCGTGCCTGTATTATATTAAAAGAGAAAAATAAATAAATAAAGAAAAGAATAAAAATTACTCATAAAAAATGTAGTTATTGAAAAATATAAACAAAGAATAAAATGGTCGATGTAAAAATAGAAACTAAAAGTAATTATTGAAAGTAGTATCCCTTTTATATATTAGTATAGATTAGTATAGATGTCTAAATAACTATCCATAATCTTTTAATATCTTTTGCGTGTCTAATTAGTAGAGACACGTGTCTCGAGTCCTCTAAAACTAATATATATATATATATATATATATATATTATTTAAGAGTAAATGGAGAGGTTGGGGAACCTTATATCTAAAATTTACTTCGAATGAAAATGGAAAGTATTACTACTGTGATGAATTGGAATGCATATTCGATTTTTCATTAACAGCAAGAGTTGCTTTGCTCCATCTTCCTTCAACTATCAATAATTTTTCTTTTTTAAATTATGTCTTATTTTTATTCTAAAAACCAACTAAAGTGTTAAATTGGATAACCATCAATAACAGTTACATGAAGGTTGTTTTTTTAAAGTGGAGAACAAAACCTTTGTATTTCTTTTATCTTTAGTTAAGTCATAAATAAGTTTAAATTGATTTTTTTAAAATGAGTAAACATGATTTAGATTAAAAAATGACTAAACGTAATAATTTATTGTAGATTTTTTAATAATTTTTTTTGGAAAAAAACTCAGAAGAAATCAAATTTCCAAATAAAAATTATATAAATTTAGTTATTTGAATTTTTGTAATTAAAAAACCCATAAAAAATATATAAATTTTAAAATTCAAAATTAGGCTAATTTTAAAATTTAATTTATAATAAAATATGATTATATATTTAAATGTTTAAAAATGAATTTAAAAATTATTGAAACGACAATTTACATTTATGTTGTTTTATATAAAAGAAATGAATTTGAAAAATATGGATATCTTAAATTTAGATGTTTAATAAGTTGAATAAATTTAAATTCATTGTAAAAATATAAAAAATCATTGTAAAAACTAAAATTAAATAACTTAGTTAAAAAAAGACTATAGTTAATAATTTAATGTAGAATTTATTTATAAAAAAAAATTGTTGAAAAAACTGAAAAGAAATAATAAAATAAAATCCGTTGAAATCGCAAATCTAACTACAAATATAAAAAAAAATCTAGAAACAAATAATATGACGAAACAAAAACCTTCGAAATAATATCACAAAACAAAAAATTTTGAAACCGCAATTGAACCTTTTTGTTGTTTTGGACATGTCTCCATGGTGCAAAACTTTTATAAGTCGCACAATCACATGTTATTTAAAGAAAGAAGAAAATGAAGGAAAAAAAAAAACCAAACAGTATGGGCCGGATGTCGTCTTTTAAATTTATTACACAGTTTTAAATCTGTATGTCATCAAAACTAATTTGATTCATTAAAAAAATAAATTGAGGCAGAATAATCTACGTATATGATAAACACTCAGTGTTGAAATAGGATGAAAATTTTTTGTCTCCAACTCCTATCTCCAAACCTTGTCCCTCCAATCATAAATTGCCACGTTATTGTATTTAATTTTTATTTTTGTTAAGTACATCTCAGCCATCTTCAAAGCCACGTACCCACCATAACTGAAGGCGTTCAATGAGGCGCTGCAGCTCCCCGCTCTCGTGGAGTTGCCGGACCTTGTCGGCATGAAGTCGCGCGGCAGTGCAACGCTGCAGCGGCCGAGGATCCCGAGGAGCTCGTCGCGGAAGCGGTCGTCGATGGAGATGTCGCGCTCGTTGACGGTGACGCGGAGGCCGCGGAGGATGGATCGGACGGCGCGACAGTCGTCGAAGGTGCAGGGAACGATGCAGAGGGAGGTGAAGTAGACGATGACGCCTTGGTCGAGGCCAGGCGGCAATGTGGCGGGGGAGGCGGCGCGTGAGGCGCCGAGGGCACGGAGGACGGCGGTGGAGATCCGGACGCGGCGGAAGAGCGACTCGGGCTTGTCTTAGAGGAGGCTCTGGATGTCTTTGAAGGAGGAGCAAGAGAAGTTGAAGGAGCGAGATCGAGAATGTGACGGCGAATGCTGCCACACACTCCGCTGGAAACCGTAACTAATTGGTTACACTTTTTAAAAACAAAAATAAAAATTAAATGCAATGACATGACAATTTATAATTGGAGGGACAGGGTTTGAAGACAGGAGTTGGAGACATAAGATTTTCATCCGTTGAAACAATGGAATGCTACTTTACAATAAGCAACATTGAAAATCAAAGGAAACAAAATATAAAGGAAATAAACACTCGATGGTGAAAAAATGGAATGCTACATTACAATTAGCAACAATGAAAATCAAAGGAAACAAAATATAAAGGAAATGTACCGTAAAATGGAGAATAGATTTTGTAGTGATATGAAGTTGGTTTAACAAAAAGAAGATGAAGTAAGAAAGACGGGATTGTGAGAATGAGACTAATAAATACAGTTGCTTAGATGTATGTGATTAAAATGAGTAAAAGTGGTGGTTACTTAAATAATATGTGGTTAAAAGAGTGTTTTGCGAAGAATAAAGGATTTCAAAATTATATATAGAGACAAAATAATTGATTG